TGCTCCGAATTACTTAATTCACTCCCTGGAGTATTGCTCTACAAGTGTTAGTCTCAACTTAATTTAGGTTATCCAGTTTCGGATATCCACTGGTCTTAGGGTTTTGAGGTTTGAAAGGATATGTTGTGGTACGTTCTTTGTTGTTGCACTTCTTCGTGCTCCGATTCTTCTATTCGACTATGAAAGTCCGGCAGATCGAAGGAAATCTCAATGATTGAGTCCGAGCTGTCTTTCACAATTGAAAATAGTGATAGTTCCTGCTTCAGAGCTGTCGCATTAACAAGGCTGAAGGTACGGATCTACACTTTCTTTGTATTCTTTTTATGTGAACCTGCTTGATTGAGTTCTGTCAATCGAAGGTATGGCTCCTTTTCTTTCACTTTTCTTTTTCTTTTCACGATCTAATGTTCGTGTTTTTGGGAGATGCTGCCATAGCACAGTCCCAGGATTAGGTTTGAAAAGGATTTCGAATTTAGGGAGGCGACGGCTACCTCGATGGCAGAGATCGCTGGGGTTGGGATTTAATTCCTAGAATTCTCCTATATATTTTATTTCATAAATAGTTCGCCTCTGGCTGATTCCTGACTTTCTACCTTCTAAATCTATGTCCAATTGGGACCTGAATCTATTCTAACTTTATTAAATTTGGGAGATATCTCAATTTATTCTCCTTGCTATCTAACTCTGTTCTCTTCGAGAACTTATCCTATTCTGTCTTTTAGAATTTTGCTTGGAGTCTCCTGGAGTCTCGCGGCCTCTCCCTACTCCTAGGCTTCCTCCTTCTCGCCCTTTTCGCATCGCCTAATTCTTCGGTTCTTGCGCAAGCGTCGATCGCCGTCGATTTCGCTCTCGCGCAAGCGCTCCCAATTCGCCCCGTTACAACGTATTATATATGTATGTTGAACGTTGAAAAATACGTACACTATCTGTAGATGGCGCGGACATTATACATGCCTCAGCACATTCCATATTTTTTTACATACATCTATTACATATGTATATTTTTATGCCATATATCTTATATGCGTTGTGACGTTATTTTAATTATATAACTCCCAAAACAAAATCCTGGCAATTAATATTCCGACCCTCTGGAGAGGTGACAAATAAATAATCTGAAAATGGGGTCTCCGTCTCGTATTCGCTCAAGAGCAACACAAATTTTGAGCACCAAGCCCTCCCAAGGGGCCAATCCGGGACCCGAACCACACGGGCCCAATCTGTCGGGGCTCGCACCAGCGTACGGGAGCTCACGCACCAGCAATGAGCCTCCCAACCCACCCACGAATACGCACCAGCGTAAGGCCCGAAGGGTCGATCTTTTAACTATCTGAAAATAAAATTACCGGAACGTCCCAGACACGGGAAAGTCGAACGGAACATAGCGATTCGAGACAAGACACAGCGTCGCCGACGACGAAAATTAACCGGGCTAGCTCAGTACGCCCAAGCGACCGCGGAGAGGGCGAGGTCCTCTCGAGAAAGCAAAACCAGAGGCAGGCTTAAATTAATAACCTATTTATTCCAAAATGAAAGGAATTGAACAAAGGTTTCAAAAAATGGTCACGGGCGGACTCACAATCCGGTATCGGCCTGGGTGACGGAGCGCGCACTCGCGCTCGACGGGGCGATGCGGCGAAGCGCACGGACGAGAAACGGTGGCTCGTAGACAGCCAAAAGTCCAAAAAAAAAAAAAACTTCACGAGAGTATAATTCAAACGGGAAGGCTGGGGTCGATTACGGGGTGAGAATAATAATTAAATTAATGACAACGCGAAAAGAAGGATTACACGCGCGCAAAGACCTACGCGAAACTAAATCAGATCTGGAAAGCCGAACTAACTTCGTGGAGAGAATACTCAAAGGTGAACGGACGGCAATCAATTAAATACGCAAGTAATACGACTTAAAGATTCGGCTCAGTCGAAGCAGCAAAAAAAAATACAGGCGCAAAAGAAGACAGCTATTTCAAAATGATCGGCGAAAATAATCTACGCGGGATACGGAATGATTTCGGACACTCTTACATACTTCTCTATCAATACTTGACTTCTCTTCGGAAATAATTAAAATCCCACTCATTTCGATCGGATCGCGAGACTAAAATTTGACAAGGTGTTGAATGGACAATTATTCAGCTTTTCTCAATTTATAAATGAGACGGCTAAATCGGAGGTGGACACGGTTCCAGAAGAATGCTACGGCAAATATTACGATTATTGATTATCAAAGAAACTCTTCGCATTAGGCTGCTTAAGACAGCATTTTTACCTCGCAGGTTCGTGCTTGGTTCGCGCCCGAGACAGCGCGAAAAATAATCCCGGAAATACAATAGGGGCTTCGCCTTTAACGAACAGGTGGAATTTCACGAAACGGATCGTACTTCGCCAAAAACTGAATTAATTTTAAGGAAACTTCGCGAAAAGATGGAATTCCATAAAGGGTCGCCCATCGCGACAACTGAAATACATTACATGAAGTACGCACTTCGCGAAAACGGGATTAACGTAAATGAAGTTCGCACTTCGCGAAAACGGGAATTAACGTATCAACCGCTCAAGACATCCTTAAGTTCGGTTCGACACGGCTTCCTGGTCCGACCGAGGAGAGAGGCAGCAATGCGGTACTTTAATATAAAAGGGCCGCTCAAACAAGACTTGCCGCGAAAATATAATTATGCCGCTTACAAGAGGCTAGGCCTCACTAACCGAGAAATCGCCGCTCACACGAGACTAGGTCAACAAATTCGGAAAATAGCCGCTGACACGAGATTAGGTCGAGAAAAACAAAAGAGGCCGCGGGATCCTGGCCGATTAGACAGCGGAAGGGCCGACCGCGTGGCGCGCGGCCCGGCGACGGGTTACCCGGGGGAAAAACGCGAAACGGGAAATCTAAATGAACAAAACCCCACTTAAAATCTAACCAATGTATTGTACGCTCAAACCTCGGGTTCGGCGAGTGCGACGATGCTCCCACGATGGAAGACCACCAGGTGCGATGACCCTCTTCAGGTAGCGGCGAAGGTGGTGAGGCAGCGGAACTCGATGTACGTTGGCCCGGCTCGACGTTCGTGGACCAAGAAGGCCGGGTCCTCGTTGCGGTCCTCCAGGCAGGCTCGGCGGCTCGAAGTTCTTGTTCATTGGCCGCCGTCGGCTGCCAAGTTGCACCGGCCAATTGACAACGGTCACATTCGGAATTTATAGAATTCCGAATGATGACAGCCGCGGCGCGAGCCGGGCCGGCGTGCGGTTTCGCGCGCCGGATTCGAAGTTGCTGCTGCGGCCCAGTCGGGGCGCGCGGCCGGCGCGTGAAGTCATCAACGGGTCCATGATCGTAGTTCTTCGGGTTCCGGTGGTGCCGGTCCTGGGCTCCCTAGAGCCAAAATTTTTCCTCCGGTGTGACTGGAGGAGCCGACATCCCCTGATGGGGCTCGTCCGGGGAAGAGGACCGGTGGACCCTTCCGCCCTAGGATCACCGCGGCCTTGCCTCGGCGTAGGAGGGCGACGCAAACGGAACCCCCCATCGCCGGCCTTGTACGGACTCCGTCGAGTCAAAGTATACGGGGGGGGGGGGGGGGCACCGGCAAAGCGCCCTCCTCCTGCCATCGTTGAGGGGCCGAATAGTCGGGTGTGGAGGTGGTGTCCCTGCGCCGCCGCCGCGGGTCGAATCTTCTCGTAAAGCGCGTGGCCGCGGGTGACTCGGCACGGTCTCTCTCCGCGCGGCCCCGGCTCCCATGGACGGCGGCGGGGCGAGGCTCCTCTGCTACAGTGCTCCAGATCCGGGGTGTCCCTCGAGGCGCCTATGTCCCTCGGTGGATGTTGTCTTCTTGTTCCGCACTCGCCTCACCGCGAGGACATCCTAACGTCTAAACTGTACACAACTTATGTTACCAAAAAAATTACAAGTAGCGCAACGGATATTCAGACTCCTTTCCTCTTCGGCCTTGAGCGTCGAGCGTGCTGTAATAAGACGTGAATGAAATGATACAAATAAAATATAGTACCACTGCCTTCGGAATGGATTTTAATGGATTGCAGGATTAATGTTTAACATTTGGAGCCCTACGACGATCGCCCTCAGGATGCATCGTCACAGCGTACAACACATAGGGGTGTCCTATAATAGGTAATTAATCTTTCAGGGGGTGAACGAGGGTGGAGTTTTAAACTAGAAGTTCCTTCTCCATTTTTGATTCAAAACATTTTTCATCTAGTTATTAGCAATTAAAGTTGACCTTCCAGACGGCGCGCAGTCGGAGCACGTAGGGACGCAGCGCGCCGTGGAACCCCTCATTCATGCCTTACGTTCCTCTAGAAGAAATTTCATTTTAATATGTCTAAGTATTTAATAAATGAATGAATAAATGAATAATAATAATAACAGTTATGAAATTGCCAAAAAGTTAATTTAAAAGTCATTATTTAACTTTATAATAAATCAATAAATTACTGATAGACCGATTAATTTTCGAATGAATGAATGAATGAATTTGACAATTAATCGGTTAATTGATAATATTTAAAAATAATATTTTCCCAATTTATAACTGCTTTTTCGTATATATTTATTTATTTATTAAATAATGTGACTTATTAAAATTAAGTGTCTTTTCGAGACACGTAAGGCATGAGCGTGAAGCCCTACGGTGTGCTTCAACCCTGCGTACTCCGGTCGCGCGCCGTCAACTTTAATTGCTAATAACTGAATGAAAAATATTCTCGGCCAATAATGGGAAAGGTACTTTTAGTTCAAAATTCCACCCTCTTTCTTCCCGTGAAAGATTAATTATTCATTATGGGACACCCTGTATATACTTGTACGGTGAAGGTGTTTCATTGCTATAATCGCTATCAATTAATTCTTAAAAATATCCTCCTTGTCTAATAATCCACTAGGGTGATTATCATCATTTCATTGTACGTTGTATATCTTGTCTCCTGACACAAAAATGTTACGAGATTTCTTATGAATATTTTTCTTTATTTCTTTTTTATTTTCAGGGTGATAAAGGAAGTCGGTGTGAGCATCAAGGGAGTTTATCTGTTAGTGGAGGGTGCAGGGATCGAGGGCAAGAGGTCAAAAAGAAAGCAGCTATAGGCAACGCGGTGCGTGGATTCTTCCCATCTGGCCACAGCAGACAGGACAGGTATAATGATGTCCGTATCAAAAATCATGCTTTTTATAACGCCAGTAGTCAATCCTCTTCTGGTTTATTCCATCTTATTTATTTCTATTCCACAATCTTTTATAACTCCATGTGCATGCTTCTTTATAATGGTTATCATATATATTAAAATTGGGTGTCATGTCACCGCTTCCTCAAATCATACTTGTAAACCCGGCATTTTAACTCTTTTATACCAGCGCCGACTATAATCACTATTCGCGTAACGAATTGTAGATACCAGTACTGTCCCTAAACGGTGCTCGGTTTTCTGTACTAAACTTCCGTATCTGTATAAATGGTTTTGATTTTGTCTTCATTTAAAAGTAACGTCTATCTGTAAAGGGGCACCTGTGGTAGAGTTTGCAGTATAAAGAAAGTATAACTTGCGGTAAAATACGCAGTAAGAAAAGGGTTAATATTCACAAAATGTATATCTTTTCTTTTTTGATTACGGAAAAATTACAAAAGCGATTCTTTTCAGTAATTGGTAGCTGTTGGTAGATATCTTAAAGAGTACAAATCTGTAATTGTATCGGAATATATTCATATTTATGAAAATTATATAATTTGGTGTGCAACATGGCTTCTTATGTGCGAGACACATTACATATTCCCGACGATATGGCGTGGGCTTTTCTTCAAATTGCTAAAAATATTTTCAACTTTTTTTCGAATTTTCGTAGTACGAAACCATACACTATTATTTCAAAAATTTCAACAATAGCAAATGTCATTAACGAAATACTACGTTAAGCGGAAGTTATTATTTCTTTGAACATGTATTCTAAATTTCAAGTCAGTTCATTAATTATAGTCTGAGATATCGTGTACACCGTTTTAAAAAAGATAGTTTCGGGGAAAGCGCGTTTACCTTAGTATTCTCAAGAATAATGAGAATATATCAAACTGCTAATCTTTACGTTTTTAATCATGTATACTCGATTGTGATGGTTAAATTTGTCCAAACTTGTGCCAGTAAAACAACTTTCATTGTACTAAAAATACAAAAGAAAAAAAAAGAGGTTGCAATGTACTGCGCAATTTTGCTAGGTGAGTGCAGTCATCAACTTGTGTCCGCATTCCTCCGTTGCTAAAGCTGTAAATTTAATAACATGGTGAAGTTTTACCCGTGACTTTTGCGTCTTAATTTTCAATATGTAACATATCAGGAAACGTGGTAGAGTTTCGCGTCAAGTATATTATAAGAAGTATGTGCAAACGGCACAGAATATTTAACACGTTGACTACCAAAACAAATGACGAGTGTAATATTGTAAAGCGGTTGCCGGTCACTGATGACCACCGTGGCAGTTAACGTGTTAACGTTGAACATAGGTTCTTCAGTTCAATAAATACGTTTTTCTTAATCAAAAGAATTTATCATAGACCTACGTTTTGTACAATTGAAGTATGTTCCGTTTTGTACAGTTTAATTTTTTCATCTTTTTTCGTCGTGAGAAGCGATCAATGACTGATTTCTTTTTGACATATCGGCTTTCAACTATAACCGCTACCGATATTTTTATTGTAAACAGTTCCCATTATCGCGCGTATTTAACGTGTAGGTCATCATTATGACCTCTCCTTGAAAATTCAGTGTCCGTCTTAATAGATTATTCGAAGCAGTAGATGATGTATGGTCTTGATTTCGATCGGTAGGTAAATGGCGTACGACGGCACCTCTATGATCTTATATCTTGGTGGTGCGACCAGGAAGTTATGTGTTGTGTGCTCCTTACGTCCATTGATGTAGGCCTTCGCGGTAATATTACATTCGACACTCAAAGCGTTCATGTTGACTAGTACATCGGACGTATGTAGTATATCGGCTTTCAAAACGCGTCGAGTGAATCTTAATTAATGGCTTATGGAATCGTCCAATAGAAAACTGACGTTACAGTTATATTTAACTTCCTTACATAACTTATTATTGTTAGGTCTAATGTTAACGATAATATTTTTATCCTTCAACACGCTCTGTACGTAGCTCTCGATGTCCTTTATCTCATAGCTCCCAGTTGGTATAGTAATAATTTAATCTCTAACGTAGAACATGTTGCGACCGGCATCCATGTTAGGAATCGAATTAAAAGTTAATAACTCGATGAGTTCGAGTAATTTTTATATGGAGAAAGTTCGTTAAGAGGAAAGTGTCGAGCTTCAAGTATAAATAAGGTGCATGATAAAGTAAGCGCAAATGAATAATCTATGATTGCAAACGTTAGACTGACGTCACAAAACTACACGCTACACTTATATAAACAATACTTATTCTTACGAATGAGTTGCCCGCACAAAAACTTTAGACGCAAGTGCCTACATTCGAAAGTATAATATTTCTGATATCGTTCGTAACTTTACGCTACACCACTAACACCGAGATATTTCATGAGATGCAAAGGCGATCAAAAATTACTACAACTATCGAAATAAATTACTCGATCGTTCGTCTTCTTGTATGCGACCCAATGTGTTCCGGGGCCATCTTCGTCGTCAAGATAGACTATCGCCGATTCGTATCTGTACGGTCTAACTTTTGGCCTAGCGTTTCATGTAAGGACTCCACAACAATGCGGTATCTTAACAATTTTCGCGGACTTGATGAGATTTACGTCGATCAATGCTTGAATACCTAATCCTTTCCTGTAGGGTTTCAAGTACTCGTACATTCCTTTGCCCATTGCGATGGCTTCCATGACCGTGTGCCTCTCGTTTTCCTTCAATCATTTTTTGATACGTTCGCATCGTTCACGACTCTAGCTGCATCTGCCGCACCACCAGCCAACAATCTAGCGGCACTGACACCCGCAAACACAGAGACGGGAAATGATAGCCTCCAACTTTGGGTGGCACAGATGAAACGCGCGGTTTACACACGTTGTGTTTTCCATTGGCTTGGTGAACGGCCATTTGCGCCCCGTTGAGGGCAGATTCGATAGCGATCCGCTCATCGTTACTCAGAATCATCGATCGTTTTGCCTCCTTGATACTTCTTCGCAGCGTAATCGCTTTAGACTTCTCCCTTTTCTTTTTGTTTCTTATTCCAAATTTCGATTTAGCTTTCATTAAGTTTGTGACGGTCCAAGCGGCCCCCTTCTTAGCCCTACTTCTGTTTTTGACTAAGACGGAATTCCACGCATTGTCAGTCGTACTATGTCCGCTACCCCTTTTTGCTCGAGATTTTCTCAATTCTTTGAGTAGACGATATCGTACTCTTTGCAAGTAGCGTCAAGAAGATTGATACCCTGATCAACTTATGCCACACTTTTTCTTAATATGGACCCAGGGCCGCAGTACTGGTAGCCGGGTATACGTAATTCAACGAGGTGACTGTTGATTTTATTAAACAGTTTACTGTGTTCGACGTGTATACACATCGGTAACCCGTAACGTTACAGTAAATTCCGCAGTTAACAGGTTAACTAAACCTCTACCTACACGACGTTTCATTGGGCAAATGCGTTTCGATTTGCAATGCACCTTCATATCTGCACTCTGTCGTGACACAGTTTCATCTAGTCGATGATCTCAATAAATCCGGGAAGTATAGTTTTTATATTAGTTGCAGACGCGATGAGGTTTGAGATATACTCTTCAAAGTTGCCTATAATGAATTTCGACGAATTGGCACGAATGGAGAAAGGGAGGCAGAAACGTGGCGAATTACTACCATACACCATACACGCGGTGTTTTGCGGGCCATTCAATAACGGCTTCCCGGTTAACTTACCAGTGACCATGACCCCATATATTATGAATACGGAACAAAGGTTGCCGCTGGTAATAGGGATCCCCATTATAGATATACCCTGGCGAAGGTAGACTCGGATGTCTTTAATAAAAGAATAAAAAACAAGTTGAGTGATTTTGCGGCACTGGACGGGATTCACACACATCGGGACACGATTGAGTGCAACGTTGCGACCTCTAGAATACAAGGTGAGGTACTTACCATCTGCGACAGCACTATTCCCTGTAAAACTGTTGTCTCACTACGGCGCACACCATGGTGGACCGACAAGGTCGTCTAAAGAAGAGGAGAGTACACAGGTTAAGTAAACGGCTCCAGAGATCGTGGAAGGAAACTGAGAGTAATATCATAAGCGAAGAATAGAAATTCTGTCTGAAGAACTATAGAAGATCGATTTACATAGCAAAGTTGAATAGCTGACGTAAGGTGACCTCGAAAACGGGAAACAAGGATCCATGGGGGATAATCTACAAACTTCTAAGGGGGAAAATCCGCTCCCTGGTCTCCCTTAGCTCGCTTAAAATTGGCAACAATTACATACGTAGGTGGGATGACAATTATGGAATTACTTGTGAAACTTAACCTTGACGACGATTCAAACGCTCCAGAGCAAACGGGCAGAAGAGTTTCCACTAACGAGCCCTCCCGACTGAATTGGAAGGCCCCCGAGGCACAACGGACTCCTCGCTGATAACCTCAACTAGTATACTTTACGGATGCCTTGAACGAGGAGTGTAGATGAGGGGAGTCCTAATCATGCTCCTCTAAAAAGTGGATAAAGGCCCTGTCGAAATTAAATTCTTTCAGATCATAACGTTATTCCCGAACATGGAGAAACTTCTTCAACGACTTGTTTTTTATGGAAGCTTAAGAACTTAGTCAAGGACGAAACTTTTTGTGCTTAAAACCAATTCGGGTTCAGACGAACCAAGAGCATGGAGGATGCACTATGTAAATTCAGAAGTTTTAAAGAGGGGGCGACTGGGAAATGTGCAGGAAACTAAGAACTCGCAGGCTGCGGCTAATCAGATTAAAGAAGAAGAATTAGATATGTGACAGGTTCGATGGGAAGGTTCCAACAAAGAATGCGTTACCTTTCAATACGTCCCCTGTATTAGGAAACGGGCAGTGATGAATTGATTAAGAATAAACTGCTATTCTGTGCAGATCCTCTCAGGATATGGTAACTTAAGAGCGAAATTACAATCTTTTAAACTCGTGGAATTTGATCCCTGTTCGTGTAGGGTGCTCGACACCCCGAAGGATCTTATATTTGTACATGGAAAATAAGAAGACATAAGAGATAGGATGAGGTTAAGCTTACCTGAGCGCGGAAATCCATGACCTGCAGAAATCCAACGCTGGTGACAAGGGAGATGTTCCCACACTTCCTGGATTTCCTGCGTAAGGCGCTGAAACTTAAGGAGAACGAAGAGGATTAGTAAAAATCACACAACTAACTTAAGCGCACTTACCTAAATGATAAAACATAAGCTAAGTAAATTAAACTGAACTAAAACAAGAACAAATAAAGCAATATTGTATAAGGTCATACTCACGAGTAACAGGCGAAAATTGGCGTATGGCATTAAATCGGTGACCGAATTCAATCACACGAATAAGACCTCAACATACAAATTGAACACAATTAAAGGACTAGAGACACGGTACACTTTAACAGAACTTAAGGGCATAAGGTGTATATTCTATCATTTGCACCGTACTTACATATAGCGCACACGATTACGATTCACAACACAGGGGTCACTGGCATACTGCCGGTAATTTGCGGGTGCAGTTTCGCTTATGCGTAAATGGCTACGTATAAAACGGATAAGGATCGGACTTAGGCCGGCTGCTCCGCCTCCTCTTGTGACCTGTTGGTCAACGGGGCGCTCGGCCAAGCGAGTCGCCTTCCTTCGGGGTAGATCCCATTCCCCACCAATGATCGCGCTGTCCATCGCCCGCGAACGGGTGTTCTTTGGCGTCGCCCCTTGCGGTTCCATGGAGTGGCGCATCGCTTGCGAGGGAGTACGTTCTTAGCCCCCCACCCCACTCCCCACCCTTACGGGTCCATGGATGGTGCAGGAGATGAGGGGTTCTTCCAAGCCCCCTCCTGACAACATTTGCGGATTCCACTGGCGGTGGTGGAACTGATAGTAGATGCCTTAGTACTTCCCTCATAGCATGCCGATAAGGAGCTACTGCTCGTTGCGCGATAGGCTACGGCCTGTACGTCTGACTGAATATTCATTTCTGCTAATAATGAGTAATTTTTAAAATTGATAATTAAAGTGCGCCAAATTAGGTACCAAATTAACGAATTAGGTATTGTAAAAGAGTATGGATTTTTATTAATATTATTTGCGATCATGGAATGATTATACATTATTTTTATTTATTTCAGTACCGGATTATACTAATAACTCATAGTCATTTACCGATGCCAAAAGATTTAACATTGACATTTATGGGGGGGGGGCTACCTACTCACCACATTGCAATACTAAGTAAGACTAACAGGCATTTTTAATTTGGTTCTTTATTAATATCGCCCATTTAAACAAACTTTTTCTGAATTACTACTAGATTATATGAATAATTCATATTTTTCTATCGGTAAAAAATACGTTTAACTTTCATACTTTTATGCTCGATTTTTTCATACTCGCGTATAGCTACCCTCCTGATAAAGATATCTGCTAGATAAATAAACGTTTGGTTATTTTCACTGAACAGTTTGCTATCTGGAGGATAGTTAAATGTTTTGGCCAATCTGGGAACACCGCAAATGCTAGAAGTAGCTAACTTCGCGAATTACGATACCCATTAAATATCTACGTCTATTCGTGGGTAATTTTGAATTTGATTTCGGGAATCAATATTAAATTATATTGACTACAATTTTGTAGAGTATTTTTATTACTTAATATCCTCCAGCTGCTAAATAAAAGTATTTTGTTAGAAAATAGTTAACAATTTTTTATTATTACATGATATTGGAATTAGTGATACGTTAAACGAGTCAAAGTCACAGAATATGCATTATTAATAATAATCCATTAGCTGGGGTTCAGCATTAAATGAACAAAAAGGAAAGAAAATTGAAAACATCTGCACTTTGATTAAACTATCGTATATCTATAGTTTATCATCCTGACTACATAATTATCATTCACTTGGTCATTCTCCGTGGACCACGCATCCAATTTATTAGGTTATACCCGTTTGTGGCCTGTAGGTTATACAAAACATTTCCCATGCTTCCATCGAGGACGCTATAGTAGATATCTACTAGATATCTGCTACTCGAACTACCGGACTTTATCCGGCGGATAACTCTTAACCTGGAAGTGAAAAGAAACGAACTGGAAGATATTTCCCGGATAACTTTGTCGGGAACTTATCGGTAGGTGAAAAAATCGGGCATTAGTTTGGTACTTTACTGGTAATAATCCTTTCATGTTCAGTCTTTGCTTTGATTACGAAGTAAATGAAATTAAACAAATTAGCAGGTACGATTACAACGCAATTTCTAAATTGTAATGAATTGAATGTAATTCATTTTTTATCTCTGTGCAGAGAATTATCATTAAGGACAGCATCGACACTTAATAGTATTACTTGTAATCTTACGAGTATTGTTATGCGTTCTCTTTAAAAATATAATCATATAAAATGAAAAAAACAGACCATACAATTCATTTTATTAATGCCAATGTTGATATGTGAGTACATAAAAGAAACTGCTGATGCCATTGTCCTTTTTAAGCAAAAATAGGGAATTAAGAGTATTATTTCAACTTCAGACTTTAAGTAATTAAGTTATTTGAAAAACGTTTTCATAAAATAGCCAATTATAAATTATAAAAAGATATGCAGTCCCCCAAAAACGCTCTCGGTGTAAAAAGAATTTGCTCCAAATTGATTGTTTTATACAGGTATATTTTACGAAAATGTTCCCCTAATATAATGTTTGAACTTACAAAAGACATGGAATCAGTCACTTTTGCCGAACATCTGCATTGCATGTAACATGTAAAATAATATTTGAAAAAAATATATCCATAAAGTAATAAATGCGCACACAAGATTTATGAAATCACATTTGCTAAATACATGCATTATGTTTTACATATAAAATGAAATATGTTTTAGAAGTAAAAAAATATTTAGCGGGCCCCACAATGGCACACTTCAGGAGAATGAGTTTATTACTTTTTCAGGAGAATGAATAATATTCTGTTACTCAATTTATGGTGGATTTTATTGGTTTTAAAGGACGATGAATTAACGTTCAACGTTTCCACACAGATTCAGGATGTAAGAAATTACACTGAATGTAAGACTTTCGAGGATAATTAAGTTATTCTCGGACTCGCTAAATATTTTTTTACTTCTAAGATATATTTTGTTTGATATATAATACATAATACGTGTATTTAGTAGAAATGATTTCATGCTTTTTGTGAGTTCAAACGTTACTTTGTGGGAACGTTTTCATAAAACATATCTGACTGAAACAATTAATTTTGCACACATTTTTTTAATATTGAAGGTGGTTTATGTGGGGATTCATTTTATAACTTTGTAATTTCTTTCTCGACTATCTAATTTCTTTCTAACTATTCGTATGTAACTCTGTAGTGTTTCGCTCCATCTCAACTCACAGGCACGTTTCTCATAGCACTATACCTTACGAGTTTCTCGTTGAAAAATGTATTTAGTTCGAAACTCTACCAAGTTTCTTGATAGTCACGACCTGTTTACACCCTAAACAGGACGGAAACGGTAAGATATCGCCTGTTTCTTTTCCGACTTTTGTAAACATACTCTAAATTTTGAAATAAAAGCTAAATGTAATAACTCTAGCATTATAATAAATATACTGTATAAACAATAGTACGTAAACATTTTTAGTTATTTTATATATCATCCTTTGCAAGTGTATTAAAAAACCGCATCAATTTAATGTCAACATGGTCTGATGATGCGTTTATTTGATGTCGGAAGTTTCAGGATCGAGCGTTAATTTCACGTCGTTTATACATATGTGTTGCGTTGGTGACGTATGTCAGTCTAAAACCGATACTTGTATAAACCACGGGTATCGGAATAAAAGATATATTTTGCTCTGAATTCGAGCAATTGTATTTGTGATTAGAAGTGTCTGTAATTCCGCAAAATATAGGAGACTGCTGGAGACACGTAGAATATTTAATAACTGATAAAGTTTATTTTATGGACGTTAAAAAGTTTTAAATGTCGTGTGAAATTATGCGCTCGTGTTAATGAGGTTTTCTTATATTTTATATTGGATTACTGAAAAGGTTATGCATTCTACAAATTCCGTGTCTTTCAAATAAGAACCATCAACTCATATTGTTACTCGTTGCAATTTAACACAATCGGTCGCTAATATTTGTTATTCTTGTCATAGAATAACGTTAAATACCTTGATAATGAACCACCCCAAAAACATATTTGACATACACGCAATTTCGGTATAACACTGAAAAAAAAAAAAGTGAAATTAAAAAAGTTAGAAGAACTCTATATGTACATTTCACCAATATTTTCTTCTTTCGCTTGCTTTTTCATTGATTTAATTTGTAATACTGAACTTTAATATTTAAAATTCAAGCCAAAACTCATGAAATATAATGTGAAGATAGACAAATTTCACTTTCTTTTTGACTCATAGTTCTGATCAGCCTTTTTGTCATTTTAATCAGCCAGACAAAAAGAACAAAGACAATAAATGTCTGAATAGTACATATATAAAAACTAATATTATGTATTCTCTTTTGATATAACAGGTATGAGACAAGCAGGCAACGATCGCCGGGTAATACTGGTGCAGTTGGTTTATCGGGCTTGTGTCCTAAGCTGGTGGCCGGTGGTGGCAACAGTGCTGGTCAAGGTGGTAACAGTTTGGGTGTGGGCCACTTAACCTCTCAGGAGGGGGCAGGGCCCTGTACCATTGTTACTAACCAACGAATTCACAATCATTCGCACAGTCATCGCCGGCAGAGGAAGTTTTCTGTGATATCACAGGGAAGTTCGAATTCAACTTCCTCGGGGGATCGAAAGGTAATGAAGATTTTCATACGAAATTCTAAATGATTAAGCCTGATATGACTGTTTATATATTGTGACGAATGAGAGCATGAACGAGGAGATAGGTTCCGGGCCCACAGCACCCGGACGATCGCTCGTCACCTTCGCCCGATCTTCCAGGCGGATCCGTTCGAGCTGCTTAAAAATTTTCCGGTTTCGGGAACGAGATACTAACAAGGAAACATTCCCAAGTGTCCGCCCCCGATCTTATTGATTTTCATATATGTTGAAGAACACAAAAATCTAAGAGACACGTGTTTTTTTATATCTGCAATGGTCCACATTTAAGGGGTGAAACAACCCCCCAAAGTTTAGCGAAAAATCGGTTTTTTTAATATTTTTCGAAGGAGCAGTGGAGGGATTTCGACGAAACTTTGCATAAACGTATTCTGTATAAGGACGGTGACAACACAATATTGTTCAGCAATGTTGCACCCCCTCAAGGGGGTGAACTACCCTTCAGGTGACATTTTTTTGTAATATCCATTAAACAAGCACTCCTACTTAAGTTCCACTTACGCGATGTGATTGCTCGCAAAAAATTAAGAAATACGTGTTTTTTGCTTTTTGCCAATAAACATTTACACATCGGTTGTAAACAATGAATGTAGGTGGTATTAGGGTATATCCCGACTACCTTTATTGGGTTATATCGTGACCAATTCATCGTACATAAGTCGTGTCAACGTGGTAATTCTTCAAAATGTCATTGATTTTCATAACATGCAATTATTTATAAATAAATTAAAAAATAGTTTCAGAGGCTAAAATTGTTTCGCAACGGATTCGACGATGCAGTCATCACCCGTTTCCAACTAGTAATACAATCTCCGTGGTGAAACGATAAAATTGGATTTTCAATACCACCTACATTCATTGTTTACAACCGATGTTTAAATGTTTATTGGCAAAAAGCAAAAAACACGTATTTCTTAATTTTTTGCGAGCAATCACATCGCGTAAGTGGAACTTAAGTAGGAGTGCTTGTTTAATGGATATTACAAAAAAATGTCACCTGAAGGGTAGTTCACCCCCTTGAGGGGGTGCAACATTGCTGAACAATATTATGTTGTCACCGTCCTTATACAGAATACGTTTATGCAAAGTTTCGTCGAAATCCCTCCACTGCTCCTACGGAAAATATTTAAAAAACCGATTTCTCGCTAAACTTTGGGGGGTTATTTCACCCTTTAATTGTGGACCATTGCAGATATAAAAAAACACGTGTCTCTTAGATTTTTGTGTTCTTCAACATATATGAAAATCAATAAGATCGGGGGCAGACACTTGGGAATGTTTCCTTGTAAGTTGGGCGCCAGGCCTCCCCGGAGGCCAAAGAAACGAAATCTCAAAATCTCACGACAATCTCAAAAACGCAAAACTCCCGAACAAAACTCAAAATAGAAGGCTCGAACAATCTCCGCCTCGACGATCGTCGCGGCGCGGCCAGAACAGAGCGCAAGCGCCAGGTTCGGAAAGGGCGGGGTAAGACCAGACTACGGGATTGAGGAAAACTCGACAAATTGTGGGAAAAATCTCAAATCGGAAAAATTTGGAAGAATTCAGCTCAGACCCCCAAAAAAAAAAACGGAAATCAAGAAAATTAACAGATTTATTCGAATAAAAGGATTTGAAAAATCAGTTACCGAAAATTTTGTCCACTGACAATAGATAATTACAAAAGAGACGACGGGGTTCGACGGAAGGTCGCCCCAAAGATAATCCAATCAGAACCGAGACAATTCGAAAGTACGGCGGTTCGAAATAAACTAGATCGGGTAAAGAGTAAGAGATCCACGGCTACTCGGCGCCGAGAAAGACAAAAGATGAGAGAAAGTTCGAATCGGGAAACTCGAAAAACAAATTCAACTTAGATAAAAAAAAAAGGGTCGTCAAGACTGAAATTTAATTCATAAAGACAATGATATGCGCTCGCTTATATGGGCTGCCGGAATGAACGTTACGCAAGAAAACGCTATTTTTAATTAATAACGCGACTCAACGCTTCTCCAACTCTAAATTCTACAACTCTAATCACCAAAGATTACTCGAAGGATATGACGCTAAGTTAATCTCAAAGCTAAACGCAAAAATAATGGTTACAACCGGAAGACAATCGGGTTTTCAGGGAGAGAAAATGGGTCGCGGACGCGGGCGACCGCGCGGTCGCCGCGCGGCTTCTCCGCCTCCGACCCCGAAGGAAAAACAATAGACAATCCTATGACTAAATACTCACACTAGGAAAATCCTCTCGCCGAAAATCAAAACCTATCACAAATTTTTCAGAGACGATCAAACTCAGATATCTCAAAGACCAACTCCTCTCGCGAAGGTCTAAACTTTTCACAAACTCCTGTAAGAACAGAGGAATTTATTACACTCGAAAAACCGTCTGGGCGGAGACCGATAACATTCACAAATCTCCGCCAAACAGAGAACGCTAAAGTTTCACGGCCAGACAATAAAAAATTCCGACTTATACGCTCCTACTCAAAATGGCGCGACAAAAAACTACTGGACATAGAAAATTATGGAACACGACGCAAAGAAGAAGAAATTGCCCTCGTGTCCGCTCGAGGAATCCCGCGGCCTCCCGAGAGGCTAACTCAAAGCCCGATTTCCGTCCGCCGTAGACCCCACCAGAGCAAATCGGAAAATCGCCCGCGTGAGACTTATGAAGTCTGTCTCCACGGTACGCTTCCGCTCACCGGCGCGGCACTATCCGGGCTCTACGGCTTCACGAAGTTTCTCGGCGACTCTAACTTATCTTAACAATGGGGGTCCTCGACCGGGCACGTCGCACTTACTTCAGTTAAGATAATTCGCCGCCACTCGCCGGCCCTTTGGCTGTGGTCTCTCGCTGAACCGGAAAGTTCTTCGGTCCTCGGCGACGAAAGACAATACAGAGAGATAATCAGATAATCACAAGTTTAATGAAACTGACTGAAGCGAGGATCTGATCGGTCTGACGGTCGCAGTCAGAGAAGACTGGAGCTCTCCGTGCGCTGTCCTATGTACGTATTCGGCTGGCCAGTCCGAATCCTAATCGGCGCCGTTAATTGGTAGAGACGCTCCTTAATCTCCCGATTTTAGCGGATTCGGCGTTCCTGGGGCCGGAGGTTGCGGTGGCGTGGTTGCGGCGGCGCGGTTGCTGGGCAACGGTGCGAGTCCTGCACGCATCGGGCCGCTGGCGATGACACGGCCGTAGCGAGCGGTAGCCCGTCGGGCCCCGGCGCGGCGAGATGTTCGCGGCGGCCGAAATTTGCCCCTCCGGGGGATCCTGGCTCACCCGGGGCAGGTCATCGTACAAACCCCGGGTACTCCGGTGAGGATAGGGTCGGGCTCCTGGCCCGGAAGTTGCTCCTTTCCGAGGCACCGCATCCCCTCCTCTACTAGTCGGTAGCAGCCAGAGTCTTCTCGAGAGCTCTCGCCTCCTTGTCCGCCTCCTGGCCGGGTAGTCGTGGGACTCCTGCGGATAGCCGTGCCCGCGCCACCAGGGTCCGTCTGCGGTCTGCCCCCGCAGGCAAGGCGACCAGGGGGTATAGCGGGGCCGACACGACCCTGCGGGTGAGCCCGACGGGCTGGCCCGGTGCCATCACCGCAATCGGTGTCGCCAGTCTTGAACCTGCTCATCGTGGCTTCCTCGACAGCTTCGCTCTTGAAGCCGGGGCGACGAGCGGTAGCGCGTGCGCGCACTTCCGAGAGGTCGACGGTGTTGATACTCCGGCCTGACGACCGTAGTTTCGCTACGTATTACAGAAATTTGGAGAGCTCTTGAACACTTCACCAAATATTCATTCCAAATATTCCTGCGAGTGCTCAAGAGCGCGCCCGGGAACCCAACAAATTCTGGATGATTCCCTTACAGAAAATTGGGAGAGTTCCCGTGGATTGCTAAATTAACCTGCAACAAAAGACGCAACTGAAATCAACTAACAATAGGTCTGCTCTCCCTCTCTTCCGGGTCGGTGACCGTCGGACCTTGGATCCTGTAATCCGCGAAAAGCAACCATCGACGAAAATTTGGAGCCGTCGTGACGCGGCAAAAATTGTGACGCGCAATACCTGTAGGAATTATTGCTGGTCTAATCTACTCATTACGTTCCTTGTACTGTGTCTTTCCTGTATTTACATTATCGTAAATTCTCAATATGATGTCTACCTTTTTGAAATACGAACTGGTCTCATCATTATGTTCAATTACGATATTGCTACTTTCTACACCCTTTTATAGGGGGACTTTTTCTAAGAGAATATCTAACATAGATGAATTAGATAAATGCGGTAAGAAGGGTTACAAGGTAGCAAACTATACGCTGAACGATAAAGGGAGCCACCACACAGCTCAGAACGCAAATGATGCCACTTTCTTTGCGTCTGTTCGAAGAGGTCCAGCGGTACTCTAAGCGGACCTGGGCAACGGAACTAGGAGCAGGTGCTTCGTCAGTGTGTGCACATCTCTGCCGGGATAAGAAGGCATTCGAGGCTCTGGAAAGGTCCAGTTACGAGACATTAAGGTTGGCCAGCAGTGTTTCGACCGAGATTTCGGCGAAAGGCGAGATCAGATTTGTTGTGAGCGTCAACGACAAAGAGACCCTAATGTGTCTACGGGACACTCTGCACGTCCCCGATTTAAGAACCAACCTGATATTCGTGGGAAGGGTCATGGACAAAAGGTACCATATTTTTCAGTAAAAAAGCAGCCTTGGTTATGGCTGGAACTATTGAACTGCGTGAAAACATCAAAATGATCGCCGACCGGGTAAAGGAACCGTACTATGTTCAGGAAACGGTAAGATCGGAATGCAGTGCCATTCCATTGTCCGGAACGGCGAGGTTGGTGGCGTGGCACTGACGTTTCGAGATCTCAACGAAAAAAGTCTGAACGAGATGATTGTGAACAGAGTCGTAAAGTGGGTTGACCTTGGTATGAACGAGCGGATATCTGTGTGTGATACATGCCTGCGGGGAAA